ATCAGGGACACCTCAGACCTATTCCTTCCGTCATGTCGTTCACCAATACCAGAAACAGCACCTGTCCAAGGACTTGACCCCTGCGGACCCCGCGGGTCCGCAGGGGTTGTGTGTGTGTGTGTGGTGGATAATGTTTTATTATAGTCTAAGAGTAGGTGAGGGAAGTGTGGTGTGTGTGTGTGTGTGTGTGTGAGGAATGAAAATAGAGAATAAAGACAAACTTGGTTTTAAAAATGTTTTTAAAATTATTTTACCTAAATTATATCTTGCATAAGATAATTCATAATATTGTCTTCTTTACCCTGACCCCACAAGTGTCTTCAAACTAGTAACTTTACCTACCCACAAGTGTCTCAAAACTAGTAACTTTACCTGACCCAACAAGTGTCCCAAACTAGAACTTTACCTAACCACAAGTGTCTCAAACCTAGTAACTTACCTGACCCCACAGTGGTCTCAAACTAGTAACTTTAACCTGACGCCAGAAAACCAGTGTCTCAAACCTAGCACTTTAACCTGACCCACAAGTGTCCCTCAAATCTAGTAAACTTTACCTACCACAAGTGTCTCAAACTAGTAACTTTACCTGACCCACAATGTTCTCAAACTAGCACTTTACCTGACCCACAAGTGTCTCAAACTAGTAACTTTACCTGACCCACAAGTGTCTCAAACTAGTAACTTTACCTGACCCACAAGTGTCTCAAACTAGTAACTTTACCTGACCCACAAGTGTCTCAAACTAGCAACTTTACCTGACCCACAAGTGTCTCAAACTAGCAACTTTACCTGACCCACAAGTGTCTCAAACTAGTCAACTTTACCTGACCCACAAGTGTCTCAAACTAGCAACTTTACCTGACCCACAAGTGTCTCAAACTAGCAACTTTACCTGACCCACAAGTGTCTCAAACTAGAACTTTACCTGACCCACAAGTGTCTCAAACTAGTAACTTTACCTGACCCACAAGTGTCTCAAACTAGTAACTTTACCTGACCCACAAGTGTCTCAAACTAGCAACTTTACCTGACCCACAAGTGTCTCAAACTAGCAACTTTACCTGACCCACAAGTGTCTCAAACTAGTAACTTTACCTGACCCACAAGTGTCTCAAACTAGTAACTTTACCTGACACACAATGTCTCAACAGCACTTTACCTGACCCACAAGTGTCTCAAACTAGTAACTTTACCTGACCCACAAGTGTCTCAAACTAGCAACTTTACCTGACCCACAAGTGTCTCAAAACTAGCAACTTTACCTGACCCACAAGTGTCTCAAACTAGCAACTTTACCTGACCCACAAGTGTCTCAAACTAAGCAACTTTACCTGACCCACAAGTGTCTCAAACTAGCAACTTTACCTGACCCACAAGTGTCTAAAACTAGTAACTTTTCACAACTTTCATAATAGAATGTCTTAAAATACCGAAAACCAACATTCTTCATCACAATATTGAAATATATAAAGTTTCTGATTTACCGAACATTTAGGTAGACTGATTGTTTTTCTACTTCCAAGTTTTCGATTTTATTTTAAAAGACAAACATAATTTTAACAACCGTGAGTTAGAGTGCATATATGGATGGGTACAAATTTGTGTACATACGTGTGTGTGTGTGTGTGTGTGTCTGTTCGTTGTTGTTGTGTGTCTGTGTGTGGTGTAATTTGTGATTACATACATATTAGCGTAAGAGGCAAGTGTGTTTTATTACATGTGGTGTGTGGTGTGTGTGTGTGTGTGTGTGTGTGCGTGTGTGTGTGTGTGTGTGTGTTAGTTACCATTTTGTCCCTAGGCACATGTCGATTAGACACTAGCCTGTTTGTATATAAGTACGTGTGTGTGTGTGTGTGTGTGTGTGTGTGTGTGTTGTGTGTGTGTGTGTGTGTGTGTGGGGGTGTGTGGTGTGCGCTCTTATTTGCGCAGTTTTAATGAGTTATAATGATGTGAACCAACAAGCTTCGTTTATGGAAATGCTTAAGTGAGTGTAAAAACAAGTGTAGTGTAAGTTTAAGAAATTTTTACTTAGGTACAAGTACTGTAAAAACATTTTTTACACAATCATCAAACTATTAACGAATTGTAAAAAATTTCCCAGGATAACCCAAAAAGTCAGTTTTAAAGTGATTATAACATTTGAGCGGCGTTGCAACTGTCGTTCTCAAATACATAAGCAAATAACAAAAAAAAAACCGAAGTTTAATATTTTTTAATTTTTTACAAAAAAAATTTCCAAAAATGCATTTAAATGCTTATTAAGCACAAAAAGAAACTTATATTTAAAATTTTATGAATTTGTAAAATAAATAGAATCCCCAAAATTTTTCCTGATAACCGGCCCCTTTGGGGGTCGAACTGGACGGGGCTTGGCTGCTTTGGTGATTACGGTTAGACGTCTTGGGGGGTGTATTTACAGGGCGCGTTTCTGTATGTCCCTCCGTAATTCCCCCCACCTGGACGTCTCTACCGTAGACCAGCTAAACAAGGCCTCGTTCCATCTGGCTAGTCCGGGGGGATCATAAACCGGGGGAAAGGGTGAGGCGGAAGATTCCTTAGGGAAGTGAGAAAGGGGAGACATTCGGGGGGGCCCACGGATGGATTCCCGGACCATGGACCCGGGAAAAGGTTGGGGGTTGGGGGGTAGTGGGGAAGGGGGAGCACCGGCGTCAAAGGGGGACTCCTGGAAACCCCGGACCCGGGGAGGGGTCAAAGGTTGGGGTTGGGGGGAAATGGGGAAGGGGGAGCACCTGGCCTTTGCACAGGTGAACTCCTGGAACCACGGCCCGGGGGGGGTCAAAGGGTTGGGGTTTTGGGGGTGTGGGGGGAAGGGGGGGCCCTGGGGTCACACAGGGGGACTCCCGGAACCACGGACTCGGGGGGGGGAGTGCAAGGTTGGGTGTGTGGGGAAATGGGGAAAAGGGGGCACCTGGCCGAACTCCTGGAACACGGGCCCGGGGGGGGGTGCAAAGGGTTTGGGGTGTGGGGGGGAGTGGGGAAGGGGGGGCACCCGGCGTCACAAGGTGGACTCCCGGAAACCACGGGTGGGGGGGGGGGAGTGCAAGGGTTTGGGTGTGTGGGGAAATGGGGAAGGGGGAGCACCTGGCCTTCGCACAGGTGATCCTGGAACCACGGACCCCGGGGGGGGTGTGAAAAGGTTTGGGGGGGGGGTAGTGGGGAAGGGGGGCACCCGGCCCTTCGCACAGGTTAACTCCTGGGGCCCGGACCCGGGGGGGGGGTGAAGGTTGGGGTGTGGGGGAAATGGGAAGGGGGAGCACGGCTTGAAGGTGGACCCTGGAACCCCGGGCCCCGGGGGGGGAGTGCAAGGTTGGGGGGTGGGGGGGGAAATGGGGAAGGGGGGCACCCGGCCTTCGCCAGGTGAACCCGGAACCCCGGGCCCGGGAAGGGTTGTGCAAGGTTGGGGTGTGGGGGGGGAGTGGGGGAAAGGGGGAACACCCGGGTCCACAGGGGACTCCCGGAACCCGGCTCGGGGGGAAGTGCAAGGTTGGGGTGTGGGGGAAGTGGGGAGGGGGGGCACCTGGCCTTTGCAAGGAGGACTCCTGGAACCACGGACTCGGGGGGGGGGGGGGCAAAGGTTTGGGGGGGGGGGAAGTGGGGGGAAGGGGGGGCACCCGGCCTTCGCACAGGTAACTCCTGGAACCCCGGACCCCCCCCCGGGGGGGTGCAAGGGTTTGGGGGGGTGGGGGAAGTGGGGGAAAGGGGGGACCCGGCCCTTTGACAGGTGAACTCCGGAACCACGACCCGGGGAGGGGGGCAAGGGGGGGTTTTTGGGGGAAAGGGGGGGGGGGGGAGCAATGGCCTTCGCACAGGGAACCCTTGGAACCCCGGGGCCCGGGGGGGGGGGCAAGGTTGGGGTTTGGGGGTATGGGGGAAGGGGGAGCACATGGCGCACACAGGTGGACTCCCGGAACCCCGGACTGGGGGGGGGGGGGAGTGCAAAAAGGTTAGGGGGTGTGGGAATGGGGGGAAGGGGGAGCACCTGGCCCTTTGCACAGGTGAACTCCTGGAACCCCGGACCCGGGGGGGTGCAAGGTTGGGGTGTGGGGGGGGGGGAAGGGGGGCACCCGGCCTTCGCACAGGTAACTCCGGAACCCCGGACCCCGGGGGGGTGTGTGCAAGGTTTGGGGGGGGGGGTAGGGGGAAGGGGGAGCACCTGGCGTCACACAGGGGACTCCTGGGAAACCCCGGACTCGGGGGGGGGGATTTGGGGGAAGGGGGGGCACCCGGCCTCGCCAGGTGAATCCTGGGGAAACCCCGGACCCCAGGGGGGGCAAGGTTGGGGTGTGGGGGAAAATGGGGAAGGGGGAGCACCTGGGGGCCCTTTGCACAAGTAAAATCCTGGAACCACGGACCCGGGGGGGGGTGAAGGGGGGGGGGGGGGGGTAGTGGGGGAAAGGGGGAGACCTGGGTCACACGGTGGGGCCCTGGAACCACGGACCCGGGGGGGGGAGTGCAGGTTGGGGTGTGGGGAAGTGGGGGGGGGGGAGCCCCGGGCCCTTCGCACAGGGAACCTGGAACCACGGACCCGGGGGGGGGTGTGTGCAAGGTTGGGGGTGGGGAAGTGGGGAAGGGGGGGGACCTGGCTTCGCCCCGGGGAACTCCCGGGAAACCCCGGACCCGGGGGGGGTGTGGCAAGGTTTGGGGTGTGGGGGAAATGGGGAAGGGGGGGGCACCTGGCCTTCGACAGGTGAACTCCTGGAACACGGCCCGGGGGGGGTGCAAGGTTGGGGGGTGGGGGAAGTGGGGAAGGGGGAGCACCCGGCCTTCGCACAGGTGAACTCTTGGAACCCCGGACCCGGGGGGGGGCAAGGTTGGGGTGTGGGGGGAAGTGGGGAAAGGGGAGCACCTGGCCTTCGCAGGTGAACTCCCGGAACCAGGACCCGGGGAGGGGTGCAAGGTTGGGTGTGGGGGAAGTGGGGAAGGGGAGCACCTGGCCTTCGCACAGGTGAACTCCTGGAACCACGGTCCCGGGGGGGGGTGCAAGGTTGGGGTGTGGGGGAAGTAGGGAAGGGGGAGCACCTGGCCTTCGCACAGGTGAACTCCTGGAACCACGGACCCGGGATGGGGTGTGTGCAAGGTTGGGGTGTGGGGGTAGTGGGGAGGGGGAGCACCTGGCCTTCACACAGGTGGACTCCTGGAACCACGGACCCGGGGGGGTGCAAGGTTGGGGTGTGGGGGTAGTGGGGAAGGGGGAGCACCTGGCCTTCACACAGGTGGACTCCGAAAAAGGACACTCACTGGTTGTCGAGGCAGACCCTGGGGAAGTGGGGAAGGGAGGATGCCTGAGGGGACACAGGCGGACTACTTGACACGCGGACCTGGGAGAGACGAAAAAGGACACTCACTGGTTGTCGAGGCAGACCCTGGGGAAGTGGGGAAGGGAGGATGCCTGAGGGGACACAGGCGGACTTACTGGACACGCGGACCTGGGAGAGACGAAAAAGGACACTCACCGGCCGTCGAGGCAGACCCTGGGGAAGTGGGGAAGGGAGGATGCCTGAGGGGACACAGGCGGACTCCTGGACACGCGGACCTGGGAGAGACGAAAAAGGACACTCACCGGCCGTCGAGGCAGACCCTGGGGAAGTGGGGAAGGGAGAATGCCTGAGGGGACACAGGCGGACTCCTGGATACGCGGACCTGGGAAAGACGAGAAAGGATACTCACCGGCCGTCGAGGCGCCCCTGGGGAAGTGGGGAAGGGAGAATGCCTGGGGGGAGCAGGCGGAGTCGGGACACGCGGCCCTGGGAAAGCGAAAAGGCATCCCCCGGCCTGGGCAGCCCCGGGGAAGTGGGGAAGGGGGGATGTGAGGGGACACAGGCGGACTCCGGGACACGCGGACTGGGAAAGAAAAAAAGGATACTCACCGGATGTGGCCCCGATTGGGTTCGGTAAATTGTTAAAAAAAAATGTTAACTAAAAGGGGTTAATTATCTCTAAAAATTTTCCTTTAAACATTCGTGAATGTAAATATGTGAGTTGGACAAAAACCCTTCATTATAATGTGGAGACTGATAAAAAGTGTTTTTATTGTATCCTTAAGGGAAAAGGAGAGTAAAGAGAAATGAAAGGAAAAAATATAAGAGGGAAGATAGGGAAAATTTTTAAACAAATAATAGAGGGAAAATGGAGGGAGAGAAGAGGAAGAGGAGGAGAGAGAGAGGGAGTCGGGGAAAGAAAAAAAACAGGGGGAAGAAATGGGGAAGACGAATAAACTAAGGATAAAAAAAAGTAAAGAAAAAAAGAGAAAGAAGAAAGGAATGATAAATTCAGAAATTTTCAGAAAAGTAAGTGTTATGACAAGGGGTAAATTTGATTCTGAATGTTAAACGTTTTAAAATTTTTCCCAAATATTGGACATAATTCACCGAGTCATAATAAGTCAGACTATTTGATGCATTTTAAGGATTCTGGCAAATATTTTTTAAAGAAATTGAACTTCTTTTAATAGTCATGTGAGCTACGTTTTGAAATTTCTTTAAAATTTTTGTAGGGTAAGGGGGAAAAATGGCTTTTCTGTGATGTTTTATGTCCCTGAGGTTCTTACTTTGGGAAAACCTCAAAGTGGATTAGGAAAACTTTTTGGTACGCGGGTGCGAAAGGGTCAGAGGAGAGGTTTTTGGGACGTCAGGTTTCGGTGACGAAATTTTTCATGTTGATAAAGATGGGGAAAATTTTGGGGCCATATTTACTTAAAGTTAGGCCCCTAGTTACTTCAGTTACTTAAGGGGTTCAATAAGTTATTCTTTCCTTGAAAAATATAATTTGGGGTATTTTTTAAAAAATTTTAAATATAAAAAGAAAATTTTTGTAAAAGGAAAAGGGAAATAAAAAGTTTTAAATTTCCTTTATGTGATTTAAAAGCTAGCTGGGAAAAAATCATACAGGGGCGTACAGCGAAAAACTTTCAAATTTTAGGGGGGAAAAAACATAAATTATGTTAAAATCCTTCGTAGCTATCGAGAAGGGAGGTAGGCCAACTGGTTTGGAAACTGCCCTTAATCGAAAAACTATCCCCAAAAGAGCCCTTCCCAGGGGATCTTGGCAAAAAAAAGTTTTCTTTATCCAAGAAATGATGGGGTTTGGTAAGTGGTAGGTTTCATCCCAAAACCTAGGGTGATGTGACACATTAGGTTTTTTTTTTTCACCAGTCGTTTTGTTTGTTTTCTAAAGATTTGAGTCTGCAAACGAGAAACTACTGCGAATTATTTAAAAGGTTTTTCCCTTGGTTTTTGCTTCCCGTATTAATTCCTGGGTTTTTCCCCTTTAAATTCTAAAGGTTGGTCCCAGGTCTATTACAATCTGGTTCTTTGTACTTCACCAATTTCATAACCCTTGCTTTTTATGGATTTAAATTTAAGCAACGTTTTATCGTTCAATCACAGATCCCTGATCTGTTGCACCCTTCCCATCCCTCCTCTTTTTTTCTGCTCTTCTTTAGTTTTCCATCTCCGAAAAGGGGATACATTGATCCCCCCTTTTGACATGTATTCCATTTGCATAATATTTTCGGGCCCCAATTTGTTCCCTTGTGGACATCGTTTGTTCTCCCCCACATTCTGTCCCCTTTTCTAGAGCAAATTATTTATTCTACTACCAGTGGTAATCTTACTGCTTTTATGGGTCGCTCATGATATTTAGTTTGCACCTTCGTTTGTGTTCCAGCCTCCTGTGAAATATAGTAAAAATGTTTCTTGCTGAGCAATAATAATAGCAATCCCCCTTCGTTTCTTTGATTCACTTTTTTTTTTTGCCAAAGAACTCAAAAAAACTGTAAACAAGATTTGCTTTCCTAAAACGTGCTGGTTGTTGTTCATAAACTCCCTTCTTAAAGTGTTCTACCACATAATTTTGATTATTTCCCCATAATACAGGAAAAGAATCAGGATACTGGTCTGTAATTCAATGCTCTTTTTTTCCCTCCGTCTTAAAAAATGGGAAATTCAATCGCTGTCTTCTAGATCTCTGGCAACTTCAATTTCATAAATTCTGTAAATTTTGCTAGTGGTTACATGGACGAACTTTGCTCATCTCAAAGAATCAATGGGGAAAATTTGTTTTGTTTATTTTTTTGATGTTTTGGCCCCGAGTACCTTTTGGGTGTAATATTCCCCTTTTTCCCGACGGGGGACATTTTATGAGCTCTTTCTTCTTCCTTAGTAAAATTAGGGGTCTTTCATTTTCGTTTTCGTTGATGTCTGTAAACACCCACTCATTGATTTTTTCCCCTATGGGCTTCCCTAAATTTTCCCACCCTTTTTCCAGTTCTTAAACTGATTTGGTTTCTTCTTCCACCACCCATTTCCCTCATTTTTTTCTCCCTAGGGGATTGATTGCCCTTTTTGGGTCGCAACCCAGGGCCCCCAATTTTTTTTTTTCCCCTACGTCACAAGTACGTTTTTAAAGCTGTATATGAGTCATGTTGACTCATTTCCTTCTATCGTTTTTTGGGCCCCCTTACCACAAAAAATTTTCTTTAACCAAATATTTCGCATTTGTTTTTCCTTGGGGGAAATTTTTCCCCTACCCCTTTCTTTGGGGTTTGAAATCCCCCATTTTGGGAAATAGTTTCCCGGGTAGGGATGATTACTTAAACTCTCCTCCCTTTCCCCTTTCGTTTGTATGGATGATAAAAGCTCGGGTGGCGAACGTTTTTCAATAAAGCCCCAAAAGTTTCATGTCTCAATCTTCAACTCTGGGTTTTTAAAACCCTTTTACCACATATTTTTTCTGCTTAAAACCCCCTTTGCTTGTGAGTTGTTAATCCTGTTGCTACTATTTGGGTTTCATCTTTAATTGTTTACTATTTGTTATTTGTTTATTTCTGTTTATCCATCTCATCTTTTAAAAAATCCATTAATTTTGAAAATTAGTGAAATTTCCCTGCCTTTGGTTTCCTTTTTCCCTTCTTTTTTTTATCTTTGTGGGAATATGAATCTGTTTTTTGTTTTTTTTCTCTTGTTCGTTTGATGTTGGGTCATTTATGTTTTCAGTTCTCACTCTTTTTGTTTCCCCATTTCTTAGTGAACCCACTTGTCCTTTTATACCCTGTTTCGTTTGTTTGTTAGGTTTTCATTTTTTTTTATGTAAAAGGTGTGGAAGTTTTATATTAGTGTCTCTTTTTTTTACAGGGGAGGGGTCAGGATTAAATTGCGGTAGGGGAACGGGTTGGGAAATTAAAAAAAAACGGTTTTGATTTGGGGCGGAGAAATATTCCAACATTAAGTGCTCTCTGTGTTTTCAAATTCTAGCTGTTCTTTGGGCATAACGCGAGGGGGAAGGAGTCCCGCTGAAAGCCTGTGTCTTTCTAAAGTTTGTTGATTGTTGCACGGGAGGTTCCCTATGGGCTGCGAAATTTCCTAAATTTTTGCTGTTTTTCGGGAAACTCTTTGTTTTTGGAAAGCTAATCCAAAGTTAGACATCATTTGCTTTTTAATTTTTTGGTTGAAATGTGGTTTTGGCAATAAAATTATACAAAGATTACCTCCTGATCCGTCTTTTTTTAGGCCCCATATGACCTTTTTTAAATATTGGGATACATTTTCTTATTCTGCCCCTCAAATGTTGCTTTGTGTCATTGTATAAAAAGATTTGGGGCTAGTGATGACACAATGTTTCCCTCTTTGGACCCTTTGGGGATTTTATCTGGTCTTTTGCTTTGATGTATCTTTTGGCACAGCTTTCCCTCATTTCTTTGGCAATTATTCTGTTCGTTCAAATAGTGCAACTTTTTTTGGCCTGGTATGCCCCTTTTCCCCTGAGAATCCCCTTTAAATTTCTTATTGATTTCCTGGCCATTTCCCGAAAATCCCCTTCCATCTTCATTGGAAAAAATTACCAGGCCCTTTTCTGTTGTTTCCTTCGATGCGATATATAGAACTTTGGTCGTTTTTTTTTCCGATGATATATTCTAAAATTGATTTAAAGTTTCTTGCCCAGCATTTTACTTCCTGATCTTTCTGCTGCTTCCTTTTTGTTGCATTCTTTGTTTTTTTATTTTTTTCCTACTTTTTAATTGTAGTTTTCCCTTTGGCTTTCTCTGACTAAACCTTTTGGTGGTTTTTGTTCCTTGTTTCTCTCAAGGGAATGATTTTTTTCTCTGCTTCCTGCAATTTCCCTACCTTCATTTATTATGTTTTTCCTTATAGTTCCTTTCCCACTGTATCTCGGGAATGTCTCATGCCGGGGTACCCTTTCTTTTGAAATCGGGATTCTCTCGCCCTCCTTTGCATCTCCCCAAAGTTTATTTTTGTGGGTTTTGAAAATCAAGTGTATGACAGGTGAAACTTTCGAAAATCAATACCCTCTGTATCAGAATTGTTCAGAGTGTTTAAAACGTCCGCATTGCTGGTTAGTTTTCCCCTCCCTCAGTTGGTCCCTAATTGTTGGGCAAGGTTCTCCTTTACCCCCAATATCACCCCTTCCACATCCGGGGCCCACAGGGGAAATTAAAGTTTCGTCATTTCTTCTGGTTATCGTTTACGATCAGCATTTTAAACATTTTTTGTGCTTTTGGCCCCCTCCGATGTGTGTCCAACATATTTTTTTGG